GGCGCCGGGCCTGGCGGAGGCGGCGGGCGGCGCGGGCCCCGGGGTGCGGGCTCTGCTCTGAACCGACTCTGTGCTTGGTCTGTGCTTTTCTCTCCCTGTTCCTCAGCCCGCGCCTTGGCTTCGCTCATAGTATGGCAACACGCACGGTGCGGTCAGCAGCGACAAGCCCTCGGTCCGCCCGGCGCCGTAACGTACCCCATGGCGTGCGAACCGGGACGCGGAGCTGGCTGCCCCTGCGCTCCTCTGGCCCTGCTCGCTGTAGTTAGCTTGGGCGAGCGGCCGTAACTTTGCAAAGAACTGCCGAGCGTTGAACCCTCTCCTCACACGAGGAAATCTTTTCCCCATTTTGCAAATGAGGATCTGAAGCAAACAGCCATTAAAGGACTTGCCTGTAGTCGTGCAGGAAGTCCGGGGGAGAGCTGAGTTTGCTTCCTTTGCTACAGAATTACAGCTCTCTTAAGAGTGCAAATCAACTCTTTAAAGCAGAGAGGTGTGTGTGTGAAATGACTGTTTGGCCTGTATAGATTGCTCTTAGATTTTCTGGTTTGGGGGTGGGTGCTGCAAAAACATTGACTTGTTAGGGATTGAGAGGTTTTTTGATTGTAGGAAAGAAACATGCCGCTTAGTAGTGCGTTGTTATACACCCTTGTGTGTGAAGACCCATGATTTTATTCTTTCCACATCTTCCAGTGAACATTTGAACACGTACAGGTGAACGTGCCCACAGGCTGTGTCTTTTAGGCTGAGGTTTCCAACTGAAGTAAGCTAGGCAAGTGGTATTCTTGAGGAAGGTACATATATTTTGATGGCAAAAAACCACTGGTTAGTTTGGAGGCTGCTTAAATGCTGCATGTACCATCATATGGAAGCTTGCTAAATGTGTGAACATCATTATATGGCTAATTTGTCTACTAAGTGCCTGTCCTGAGGAGTGGTGCTGGAGTGGTACCTGTTTAACTGAAGTATTACCTACTACTCCAGCAGCAGGCTAGGTAACAGCAAAGCATGTGCTGGTCTTCATCTGTGCTCTCTCTCTTCCCCCCTTCCAGTAGGGGTAGAACTGGAGCTAGCTATCAGACAATAATAGATAGTTTTGCATGGCTGAGCTGACAGCATCAGCACTGTCATAGTCCACAGATGCAGGAGAAGTTGGTGTGTAGGAAGAGATAACACAAACCTGGCTATGGTATGTTTAGGAGAAGAAAGGTGGGAAAAGAAATATCAAGTTTTTTGGTCTTGTGAGTCCAGAATCTTACCTGTTCTGTTCTTCCAAGTAAGTCAGCTGATCTCATGCAGTGGCTTTCAATTTTTGAACTGCAGCCCCCTCACGCTTTGCACTAGAGGCATAGAGCTGGTTAGAAATGTTGTGCAGCTGAATGATGTATACAGGTTTGCTATTCTTAGTCACCTTTGCAGCACCTGTGGAACAGTCCATGGACTGCCGCCTTACCACCACTGGTGTTAGAGAAGGCATTTTCTCTCCCAGCGAGCCCTGCCAGTGTCACATTTGTGTTGTGGGTTTCCTGTTCTCCATGCAAAAAGGCATGGTTGTTTCTTGACTTCTGGATCTGCAGAGAGCTGGGTTTGCAAATGTTCATTTGTGTTGCTTTTTGGAGTTGTTGTATTAGGGAAGATTGTGAAGCTGAAAATCAGGAAAGTGGGTTCAGCTGCTCAGAAATTATCTCTTCCCGAACATAAATTTAATTGCAATTTAGAGAACAAAGTAATTGCTTACCAGAATCTGACACCAGAAGCATGGAAGCAACCAAGACTGTTGGATGCAGTGAGCTGGAGAGGTTTTCTTCTTGTTAACTAATTTTGCCTGTGATGCATGCGGAGATAGAGATGTTTCCAACATCATGCAGTACTGTGAATATTCAATCCCACTTCAGCTAAGCCTGGCAGTTCAGACATGCTTGTGCCCACTCTTCATTTCCTGGATGTTTCATTCATAGGTAGATAATGGGTGTTACAGCAAATCAAACCTGACACACTCTTTTAGTGGTTATTATAACATAGGTTGGAGGCAGCTTTGTAATGCAGCTGTTAAACAATCCATGTGGAATAGTCAAAATGCAGCAACGTGTTTAGACATCACAGAATATGTGATGGATGTAGCCTTCTCATGGGAAACGTCTGGAATTCAACTAATGCCCAGTATTTCAGTGTTAAATAGTGGGGTGTTAAATTTGTCTCCTTTTGGATCTAGAGTAGAGGGAACTGATTGGGGCTAGATGAGGTCAGAATCCAGTTTAGACTTTCTGCTAAGAAGTTAAAGTGAGATCTGCTGTTGCAGCAGTGCAGCAAACTGGGCCCTTTAATCTGGTCTTTCCAAGGCTGACAGAGCTTTGGAAGCAGTTTGTTGTGGCTGAAAGCAGCCATAATTCAGTGGGGGGTTTTGTTCTTGACAACCCTTTCTTCCTGACAAATACATGCTATATGGCATAAACTGGCTTTGGAGAAAACCAGTGCTTACTCTTCTGGAGATAAGGCTGTTGTCACGAGCTGCATGTACATCTTGCAGTGAAAATGGATATCCTCTGTGCCATTTTTTTTGGTTGGATAATTAAGGTCTTTTGTACTTCAGTGAATGTCAAAATGATAGCTTTGGACATGGATGCAGACTTTTACATGAGGCACACAGTGCCAGTGTGAGCTGGCACAGAGGTTGGCTGTTAATGGCCGTGTAACTGAAGTACTCTGTAGAAGTCAATTGATGCCCAGTGTGCTGCCATTGTTGCAAAGCAGGTTTGTTGTTTTATGCCTATCTGTTAATTTCTTGTTTCTAAACCCTTTTATCTTGTCACTAGGCTGTTCTTTGGAGTTTATTGCACTCGATTAGGGATCGGTTCTCAGAATCAAGGAGTTAGAAGTGAGATTTGAGATAAGTGAGGCCCATTCGGTGCTGCTTTGGACGCCTCCGAAGGGGAAATGGAGTTATCAGGATTGAAAAAGAAGAGTTTGCTAGGACTCAAAGAAAATAATAAAAAATCCAACACTAGGTAATGATTCTGTCCGATTTTCTAGGCTTAACAAAACTGGGGATGTTATAGGGTGCTAGGGCTCTCCCAGTGAGGGTGAGGAATTGGAAATACACCTCTTTCTGCGTGAATTTCTGTATGTGAGAATTTCTGTATGCTATAGCTGTCTTCCTCAAAGCTGCTCTGTAATGTAAAATATTTTCCTTTTTCTAAAAAGTCCAAACTTGCCTAATGCTTTAACTCTGCAGTTACGGTGATCTTGAGTGACATTTGAAGTTCAATGTTTTGTGTTGCTGTTCTGTTCTTTGTTTGGGTGTGGGGGTTTTGTTGCTTGTGTTTTTCTATATTAAACAATGTCTTCTGCAATTTGTTCTTGAAGGGCTCCCTCACCAACCAAGCGCAAGGACAGGTCTGAAGAGAAATCAAAGGACAGGTCCAAGGATAAAGCAGCCACTAAGGAATCAGGTGAAAAGGATCGTGGTCGAGACAAGACACGCAAAAGACGCAGTGCTTCCAGTGGGAGCAGCAGTACCAGGTAGTTAGTTTTACAGGTAGTAACAAATTACAGTGTTTTCAGAAACCACCAGCTTGATTTCTGGTATGTTTCATTCCCTGTGTCATGGACATGTTGAAAGCTTGCATTGAGTTAGTCACAGTGCAGTTTTGTCTAACTTAAGGGGGTTTATTTTTTTTTTAGGTGTGAATTTTCTTTGGCTGTCTAGTGAGCTACGCAGCATCAGTTTTCATTGTTCTAACTCACAGTTGCTCTCTCCGTAATTATCAGAAGTTTTTCAGCCATTCTTTTTCTGGATACTCCACTTATTTTTATTGCTCCTCCATCACCAACAGGTCCCGTTCCAGCTCAACTTCGAGTTCAGGGTCCAGTTCCAGCACCGGTTCTAGCAGTGGCTCTAGCTCCTCTTCTGCCTCAAGCCGCTCTGGGAGTTCCAGCACCTCACGCAGTTCCAGCTCCAGCAGCTCCTCTGGATCTCCAAGTCCATCTCGACGGAGACATGACAACAGGAGACGCTCTCGCTCCAAGTGAGTTTTATTTGACTTTGTCATGGTTTAACCCCAGCCAGGAACTAAGCACCACACAGCCGCTCACTCTCTCCTCCCCACCCCCAGTGGGATGAGGGAGAGAATCGGAAAAAAAGTAAAACTCGTGGGTTGAGGTAAGAACGGTTTAATAGAACAGAAAGGAAGAAACTATAATGATAGTAATAACAATACTAAAATGACAATAATAAAAGGATTGGAATATACAAAACGAGTGATGCACAATGCAATTGCTCACCACTCACTGACTGGCACCCAGTTAGTTCCTGAGCAGCAATCCCTCCCTGCCCAACTCCCCCTAGTTTATATACTAGGCATGACATCACATGGTGTGGAATACCCCATTGGCCAGTTTGGGTCAGCTGTCCTGGCTGTGTCCCCTCCCAACTTCTTGTGCCCCTCCAGCTTTCTTGCTGGCTGGGCATGAGAAGCTGAAAAATCCTTGACGTAGTCTAAACATTACTTAGAAACAACTGAAAACATCAGTGTTATCAACATTCTTCTCCTACTGAACCCAAAACACAACACTGTAACAGCTACTAGGAAGAAAATTCTGTCCCTGCCAAAACCAGGACAGTCTTCTAGGAATTACCAGATCGCAGGTTAATTTCCACGTAGAATGCAAGATTGTGATCAGAATAGATTGTTTTCTGAGGACCATTTTCTTTCTCCATAATTTAGAGATCTGAATTTTGTTAGAATGCGTGTGCTTCTTTTGGTTACAATCAGAACATATGCCCTGTTAGAAAAGAGATTAAAAATCTCATTTTAAAGAGAGTGATTTTAAATACTACATTTTGTAGAGGCAGTTTTAGTTGATGTTCCCCCGGTAGTATGGGACTATACGGGCACTAGATGAGAGTAAAGCTCTTTGGTTCCTGTAAATTACAGCCAAGACTAACAGAAAAGTGAGGGCTGAAAATGGTGTATATGTGTGTATGTAAGTCTTATGTATAAAAAAAATAAAATGGGGCGTGGGGGGACAAAGGAAGCATTTTCCTGTAAGGGTAGGAATCGAACTGTGTTAATGTCCGTACAGTTTTTCCTCTGGATAATTCTGTAGGTCAGGTGCTGAAGGCTGATAAAATCTACTGAATTATTATAAGCCATTGTGGTGGTTTGGTTTTTTTTGGTTTTGTTTTTTTTTTTTTTTTAGTATATCACTCAATTTATGGACAGTAAGATTAGGAAGAAGCATAAATATAAATTTTCTGCATACTGAATTTTTTAAAGATTAAAATTATGTTCCAGATTTTTTTAATTTTCTTTTTTATGAAACTACAAAGAGATTGTGATATGCAGCTACCTAAATAGTTTTTTTAACCATGACATTTCTGGACCTCTGTAGTGAACAGAAGATACAGAAACACAAATGATTGGATCTGCTAATTTGCCTGGCTGTGGTGTGCTTTAGTGTTCATGTCCTCATTTTGCCTCTTTAATTGTTGAGGCAAAGAATGTTTTTTGTTTTAACAACTGGGAAATTCCTTGACTATGGCCAAAAACTTTATAGAAATGTTTGCTAAATTTGGTGTTTGTTACCGTAGTTGCAGTAAAGTTGAAAACTCACGAAAAAAGGCTCTCAAATTCCAGAAGGTTCTAAAGCAAAAGCAGACAAGGCAAATGCAAGTCCTGAGGTGTTTCTAAGTGGAACACCCTCACCACCACCCCAGAACTTCCTAACCTGTAACTTTTTGAGAAAAAAAGGTGCCCTCCCAAGAAAAATGGTGCTTTTTAATCATGTGATAATGACTGGCTTCTTGGTTTTGTCTTGCATGTTCCCTGAAAATGAAACATTTTCTGTTGTCAAAATCAGGTCCAAGCCACCCAAGAGAGATGAAAAGGAGCGGAAGAGGCGGAGCCCGTCACCCAGACCCACAAAAGTGCATGTTGGAAGGCTCACTAGAAACGTGACCAAGGTAATGGCATGCTCCCCTGTAATATCAAGCTTGCATATCTTCTGTGAAGACGTGTGAGTGGCTCTTTTAAAGTTCTCAAAATGTTTTTTGTTGGTAGAGTGCTGCCAGGGTGTTGGTGTTGGAAATTCTTGCTTTGTGTCCAAATTGCTCAGTGAGGAAAATTTTGGTAGGATTTTACTGCATCAAATACAGTGCAGGCTTTTGAGACTGTGTGGTGCTTAAGAGGTCTGTCTGCTTTGTCAGTATTCTAGACTTTGTATGCTGCCTAACTAGGAAGAAAACTGTAGAAGTTGGGACAATAGCTGAAATTAGCTTGGAGGCATTAAGGGTATCTGGAGGTTCTTGATAAAGGATCTGAAGAGAGCTGGGCTGGCTTGTGTTGTCTTTGTTAGAATGTAATTTAAAGGCCTTCAGAGGTAGAAGTGTAGGGTGCTGAAAAAATAATGTGTTTTAAAAAATATTAACAATCACACCTTAAGAGTTTTCAGCTGAGGGCATAAGTTCTCTTTTCAGGTCCCCAAGAGGATTTTTACACTAGTTGTATTTTTGTGGCTAGTGTTGACATGCAGCAGTAATGCTGCTAGAACTTAAGGTTCGGAACAATCCGAGAAGGAACTAAATAGACAACAGCAGAGAAAGCAGTGGTAATCCTTTCCACATCTGGCCAATGAAATATGTCTCTTTCTGATGGTGGCATTGATTTAAAGCTAATCCAGTGCTGTGGATTTACTGCTCTGTGCCAGCCAGACCTGGTCAGTAAGCGTGATCTATGTCCTTAAGACTTGCTCTTTCTCTGCAGGATCACATCATGGAAATTTTTTCCACTTATGGAAAGATAAAAATGATTGACATGCCAGTTGACAGGCTAAATCCACACCTCTCTAAAGGTTATGCTTATGTGGAGTTTGAGAACCCAGACGATGCTGAGAAAGCCCTGAAACACATGGATGGAGGTAGGTATCAAATGCTGCAAGGAGGTTGGGTGCTTGTAAAAATCTCTGGAGCGGATGAGTTTGATCTGGAAATGAGTTAGAGGTGATAGGGAAGCCTTTGGGGAACTGATCTGAAATACTGTCTGTTTTCAGCACAAATGGCTTTGGCTTTTGTGTGGTTCAGGACAGATCCAAAATATTGCAGAGCTATTAAAACTGAGGGGTTTTTTTCAAAACAAACAGTAATAAAATTCTTGTGTCTGTGTCTGTGAAAATCTTTTTGGGTTAACATCTGAACTGAAATTTGATGGGATATTAGATGAAGAAGTCTAGTATGTATGTGGACTTTGTCAAAATAACCCCTGAGCAGGTAGTGGAAATAGCACTGTAGGCTGATTCATGCTTCAGTTGCTTGTGACAAGCTGTGAGTTGTAGTAATGTGATGTGTAGATGTTAGCATTGGAAAAATTCTTACCTCTTCCTGTTTCTGTGATTCCCTAAAAAGGCCAGATTGATGGTCAGGAGATCACTGCCACAGCTGTGCTGGCACCACGACCTAGGCCGCCTCCCAGACGCTTTAGCCCACCCAGGAGGATGCTGCCACCACCACCGATGTGGCGCAGGTCACCCCCTCGCATGAGGAGAAGGTGAGAGCTGTGACAATTTGCATTTCCTTCTCAGTGTAACACCATGTTATCACTGAAAGACTTGGCATGGGGGCAATTTCATCCTATTGGACTTGACTTTCACCTCCACATGACAGTAACACCTTTTGGGCATCAGTTGAGCCTGGATTGTACTTCTTAACTCCTAAGCGCCAGGGTGACATGCTCTGGGCTACACCCTGAATGCAGTCTGTCAGAAGTGTCAGATGCTTTCCAGCCTGTTCCCTGGAGTCCCTTCTGCATAAATGCTTCAAGGTGAAGTGGGAATGGACTTCTGGCTGGCAGAATGCTTTTGGCAGCCTGCTACAACTGCTTGCTTTTCTGAAGCCCTTGCACCTTCATCCCTTATTTCTACGAATGGGCACACGACCAAAAAGCAGTCCTTCTGCATCAGGTGAGCAGAGTACGCTGACTCCAAGATAAAGATGTGACCTGACATGCACGTGCCTGTTGTGTGGCTTCGGGCTGCCTGAACATGCTCAGATAAGAAGTCTTTCGGAGTCTTCCTCAGCATCTAGATGGGCTCCTCTGTCTTGGAAATTTTCTTAAACTCTTGCCACTAGTAAAAGTGGCTCCTGTTTGGGCCACTTGATTGCTGAAGAGCTTACCAACTACAAGTTTAAAAATGAGAACTAGCTAATATGGCACAAGATCCACTGCCTGTTGGTCCTCCTTTAGACATGCCTTTTACTGAGGTCTGGCAAATGCTAGGTTTGGCGTTCCCTCCTCATTGTTTGTTTTCTTCTCTAGTCTAACTTTTACTGTCCTGTTCAGGCTCTGTTAATATTCTGTGCCTGGAACCTTGGTGTCATACTGGTGGCCATACAGATTGATTGTAGCACTGAAGAGCTTGAAGCTTTACCTTTAGAGTTAGACTTCCTCTAAGAAATGTCCCTGCATTTGAAAGGTCTTATATAAATCCTTTCCCTGAATATCACTGCATTTCAGGAGTCAAAGCTGACCTTTCAGGTAACAGAGAATCTGATGTAGAATGAATGTGAGCTTGTTTTGCTTGAGGAAGAAGACAAGATTCTTGTCTGTTCTTTGGATATTAAATGTTCTTTCAACTTTCTAAAGCAGAGGAAGAGTAGCCAGAATATTCCTGCCGTGTAGTCAATCTTTGAATTGCCTTTTTCCTCTCTGGAGCTGGCTGTATTTTGCTGGAGTTCTTTTACCATATTGTATGAGGATTTTTTGGAGGGAGGCAGGGAAGTGTTTTTGAAAAGTTGGTAGATGAGCTGACAAATTGCTGGAACCTGTTCCCCTTGTGTCCTAATGAAAGCTTTCTCCTTCATCTCTGTCAGGTCCCGGTCTCCTAGGCGCAGATCTCCTGTTCGCCGGCGATCAAGATCCAGATCTCCTGGACGAAGGCGCCATCGCAGCCGCTCCAGCTCAAACTCCTCACGATAAAGCAAAAAGACTGGACAGCTTTTTATTTTTTAACTTAAATCCCGTCAGACTAAATATTGTACCTTTTTTTTTATAATGGGTCTGGGTGAGGAGGAGTGAGAGAGAGAGAATCCTGGCAGTGAAGGTAACCTAAGAGGAGAGAGCAACAGTTCCCAGCCAGTAGATAGCCTTTGCTGTGGGGCTTCTAGTTTGCTGGCATTGAATTGAAATTATTTAAAAATGGCTTTGATTTTAAAGGCTGCGAAAACACCTTTTCCAGATAAATGGAAGGAAAGATGTTGCAGCTGCTCCTTCTCCAGTTAGCAGGCTGCTGCTTGGTGATTTCTAAATGCTTAGCACGCTGTACAGACGAGCATGTAAATCTTGAGCTATTTCAGAAACCCTGTATAGTAAGACAGGGAGGCATTTATCTTGATCTCTAGGTGCCAGCACAGGACTTTTCAGAGCAACTGGAGTCCAGATCTGCCTGAGACTTAAATACCGAGTTGTCGCTTTATTCCAATTCCCGAACAGATTATTAGTTTCTGCAGAGTAAGCTCTTTCTGCAGGTAAAGCCCTTCTGTAACACGTATACCAGGTGATCACCAGAGAAACAACGGTCCAGCCCACTGAACATGATACTGTAGAAAAGAAGCTGGAAATCTTAAGAACTGGTTTGTAGCTGCCCCTGTAAGTCATTTCTTTCACCTTTTCTTAAAGGGTTTTGGTAAAAACTTCCTACACGACCCCCCAGTGAAACAATGCAAAAGCTTCTGCTTCTGCAAATCTCAAAATTAGTGACTGAGCATCAGCCCCTGGAAAAACTGCAAGGCAGGGAGGGAGGCTCGGGGCCGCCGTGCTGGCTGGATTCACCGGGGTTCACATAGGGAAAGGCAGAGATTTTACCACCTGTTGTACAGTCAATACTATAAAGATTTTTTTCGTTTTGTTTTGTATCACTTTGTAGCCTTTTGGGCCATGTTGTGTTTGTACTTGTGTAGGACCAGCGACTATTGAATAAAAGCAGTAGGGTTGAGAACAGCCGGCCTGCCTCGCTCCCTTCTCCAGCCCCTTGCTCGGCGCAGAGGCGGGGAGGTCGGCAGCTGCCTTGTCTGGGGATTTTTACGGCAAAACCTCCCGGTTTTTACGGCCGTGCCCTCTCGCGCGGGATGCGCCGCCCGCCAAGGGCGCCTGTCCCTTTAAGACCGGCGCGGGCGGCGCTTTTTCCCGAGCGTCACGCGGGCGGGCGTCGCGGATTGGCCGCTGCCGAGGGCGGGCGGAAGTGGGGTCGCTGCCCCGGCGGCGCCATGGCGGCGGCGCTGGAGCGGGCCCTGCGGGAGGCG